CAGGGGTGAAGCAGGGATACCCATTTTCACCACTATTATTCAATATTGTACTAGAAATGTTAGTTATAGCAATAAAACAAGAAAAAAATAAGAAATTAGAATAAGCAATAAGGAAACCAAACTCTCATTCTTTGCAAATGATATGATGATATACTTAGAGAATTCTAGAGGATCAACTAAAAACTAATTGAAATAATTAACAACTTCAGCAGTATTATAGTATATAAAATAAATCCATATAAATCATCAACATTTCTCTATATTACCAGCAGAATAAAGCAGGAAGAAATAGAAAGAGAAATTCCATTTAAAATAACTGCAGATAATTTAAAATACTTGGGAATCTACCAGCTAAGACAAACCCAGGAATCATATGTACATAATCACAAAACACTTTTCACACAAATGAAGTCAGATCTAAACAATTGGGAAAATATCAATTGCTCATGGGTAAGCTGATCCAACATAATAAAAATTACAATTCCACCTAAATTAAATTATTTATTCAGTGTCATACAAATTAAATTACCAAAATTATTTTATAGAGCTAGAAAAAATATAACAAAATCTATCTGGAAGAACAAGAGGTTAAGAATCAAGGGAATCAGTGAAAAAATATGTGAAGGAGTGTATCTTAGCAGAATCTTATCTCAAACTGTATTACAAAGTAATCATCAAAACAATCTGGTACTGGCTAAGAAACAGAGTAGTTGCTTAATGGAATAGATTAGGTACACAACATATAGTAATAAATGACCACTAGTGACCAGTGTTTGGTAAACCCAAAGATCTAAGCTTTTGGGACAAGAACTTACTTATGTAACAAAAATTGCTGGGAAAACTAGAAAGCAGTTTGGCAGAAACTAGTTTTAGACCAAACATCACACCGTATACCAAGATAAGGTAAAAATGAGTACATGATTTAGACATAATGGGTAATATCATAAGCAAATTAGAAGAGCATGGAATATTTTGCCTGTTAGATTAATGGATAAGGGAAGAATTTGTGACCAAACAAGAAATAGGGAGCGTTACAGCATGTAAAATGGATCATTTTATTACATCAAATTAAAAAGGTTTTGCACAGACAAAACCAATGCAGACAAAATCAGAAGGCATGCAGGAAATTGAAACTGGGGAAAATATTTTTAGCCAGTATCTTTGATAAAGACCTAATTTCTCAAATATGTAGAAAATTGAGTCAAATTTATAAGACTATGAGTCATTCCCCAATGACTCATATGGTCAAAAAAATATAAACAGGCAGTTTTCAGAAAAAGAAATCAAAGCTATTTATAGTTATATAAAAATGCTTTAAATCACTTTAGATTAGAGAAATGCAAATTAAAACAACTTTGAGGTACTGCCTCACATCTATTAGATTGGTTAATATGATAGAAAGGGAAAATGACAAATATTGTAGGAGATGTGGGAAAATAGGGACACTACTGTACTGTTAGTGGAGTTTTGAATTGAGTTAATCATTCTGGAGAGCAATTTTGACCTATGCCTAAAGGGCTGTAAAAAAACTGTACCTTTTGACCCAGCAATAACACTATTAGGTCTGTACCCCAAAAAAGCAAAGCAAAAAATAGGTATGTATGTATGTATGTATGTATAAATGTATATGTATAAAATATTTATATGTATATAAAATATATAAAAAATTATATAATAATACATAAATAATAAAATTATGTAGGTATATAATATAAAATATATATGTTTAAAACATTTATAGCAGCTCTTTTTGTGGTGAAAAGAATTGGAAATTGAGAGGATGCCCATCAATTGAAGAATGACTGAGCAAGTTGTGGTATGATTGTAATGGAATACTATTATGCTATAAGAAATGATGAGCAGGATGCTTTCAGAAAAACCTGGAAAAACTTATATGAACTGATGCAAAGTGAAATAAGCAGAATCAAAGCAACACTGTACACAGTTATAGCATTATTGTGCAATGATCAACTGTGCATGACTTAACTATTCTCAATATCCAAGATAATTCTGAAGTGCATATTGTGAAAAATGCTATCTACCTCCAGAGAAAGGACCGATAGAGTCTGAATACAGATTGAAGTATGCTTTTTAATGTCTTTAATATTCTTTTTTCTCTGAATTTTCTTTTTGCAATATGGTTTATATGGAAATGTTTTGCATGACTGCATATGTATAATCTATATCAAATTGCTTGCCTTCTCAGTGGGGGGGGATGTAAGAGAGAGTGGGAGAGAATTTTGAATTCAAAATTTTAAAAAATGAATGTTAAATTTTATTTACATGTAATTGAGAAAAAATAAAAATTAAATTAAAAATCACATCATAAAATGACTATTTAATCTATCTATGCAATAATACCAGCCATGTATAAAATATGCTCTTCTGCCTGTAGCTGTCTGTTCCTTCATAGCAATATTTTGGTGTAGGCTTAGACATTTGGCTACATATTTAAAATGTTTTAGTCTCTGCTATTTAAAATAAAAACTTATTTAATGAATGAAAATGAAATAACTCATTGCTTTGAAAATGATGATTATGCATTGTAAGCCATTGAAATGCATAGGAGAAAGAGCACTGACCTTGTCGTCATGGGTGATGGGTTCTAATCTTGGCCCTTCTACTTATCATTGGTGTCGACTTGGACAAATGGCTTCATTTCTGATCCTCCTTCAGTTTTCTCATCTGTGAATAAAAGGGGTTGCACTAGATGATGTTTAAAGTCCTCTTCATTTCTAAATCTCATCATTTCCTAGCAGTAGGAACAGTGTGTGTCCATAGGGATAAGTAAGTGCTACATTCATATGATGCTAGACTGCCCGAGAGGTGGCCGTGAAGTTCCTTAATGCTTTCAAAGGCTATTTCTGGTGGTGGGTAAGGTGGAGTATTCTACAGAAAACTCAAGTTTCTTTTCTTTGTGGATAATAATAGACTGCCAGGACCATTTTCTGACACTGGAAAGGGGACAAGTGAAGGCTCTGGGAGTAAAAAGACAATTCTTTGAGGCTATTATTATCCTTGTATTATCCACGCAAAGGCTCCCATACCTGACCAAACCAGGCTCCAATCTTTCCCGGACAGTTACTAGGCTGTTGTTTCTCTTTGCTTCAGGTGGTATATTTCTATTCTTCTCCCAGATTCATCACATGCATTTCATTTCTCCCTCTCTTCCATTTCTAAAATTCTATGATTCTATAATTTTAACTGACTGGGTTCTCAACATGAATTAATCAGGCTTTCTTCTCTTAACAGCAGTCTCAGCAGGGATACTGAAGCACAGAATGAACGTGTCTGTTTTGCTTTCACCGTTCCCATTGAATTCCCCAAACAGGGTTTGGGATGTAAAAAATGCCCCAGCAATAAAATACCTTGGTCTTTATTACTACAAATAACTTGATATAAAGTAGTATGTACTCTGTTTGTATATTGATTTTCGTTAACAAGTAAATTAAAATTTCAGTCTTCTTAAGCTTCCATGAAATGTTTATAGTCCTAGAAAAAAAAAGGATGCTATACCTAATACACAAAACCAAATAGCTCTGTAATATTCTTTTGTTTTTCCTTCCCTGTTTGTGGTGATTGTCCAGGAAATTTTTATTCCTAAGTTTTTTTTCCAGAGTAGGAAGTCTGCTTTCTTCTTGCTCTGGGCATTTTTTCTGTAGCATTTATATGTCATAAACATTCTGCAGTAGCTCTCTGGATTCATTTAGTAAGAAAGAAATAAGCTAGAGAGAGATTTCAGAAGGGTGGAATGTGAGTTTTGCTTGGCAACTGAAATGATCTACATATTGGAATATGCTCATAACTTTCTTGCCTGTGGCATGTTTTGTGGTATATTTATCTTTTAAATACCTAATGTGATGCTTGCTTATTCATTGTTTCCTACTTAGAGAACCCCCCTCCCTCTTTCCCCATTTCTTCCCACCCCTACCCTTCTACTTCTATTCCAAGGAAAATGGGAATGTCAATATATTGGTATCACAGTGGTGCAGTGCCGAAATATTCCTGTTAGACAGCAGAGGGTACTATGGGGCAAACAGAGATCCACAGGAAGAAGGAAGACATTTTGTCCATACCGTGCAATCCTTGTGCTGACTGCTGCTGATTGGCAATTGTTTTGAATAATAAAAACCATTGTTAACAGGGTCCTACTTCCTTGCAAGCATCTACAATTATAAACTTGTAGCTCAGAAACAACTGCACGCTCACTGTTATATCTCCCCCCTATAATTGTAGGGAAGCCAACGTGATTGGTTGGTATTTAGTGTGAAATGGGAGGCCTCCTTGTTTTTGGATGAGCATTTTTCTTTATTAGAGCAGGTTTAACACAGTGTATCAGATCCTTTCAAACATCCAAGAATCATGACAGTCCAAAGGATCGTAGATTTGGAACTGTATGGGAGCTTAGAGGTCATTGAGTCCAACCCCTTCATTTCATAGATAAGGAGAGGTGAAGTGACTTGCCCAGGGTCATCCAGTTAGTAAGTGTCTTGAAGTAGGAAAGGAGCTTGACTCCAAGTTTAGTTTCCTTTCCACTATGCCATATTCACAGTATCATAGACCCAGAGTTTCCAATGACGTCAGAAGTCCCCCATTTTACAGAGAAGGAAACTGTAGCCTTAGCTGTACACACTCTTTCAATCTGCCATTCTGAAAGTGTAGATCCTCAGATATTCTATCCAGTAGGGAGTGAGTGTGATTGCAGAAAGAGCTCTTGACTAGGAGTCAGAAAAACTAGGTTTCATTATGGTTCTAGAACTTTCCAGCTATGACCTTGGGCAAGTCCTTTCTGAGACTTGGTTTTCTCAGCTGCAGAAGGGGAATAATACTATCTACCCTGCCCACTTTATAGGGTTGCTTTGAGAAGAAAGTGAAGTGTTCTGAAAATTCTAAACTTCACTATGCAAATATAAGGTTTGCTTGTTTTTTTTAAATTTAACCAGAGTAGAGTAATTTTTAATTGTGTTTTTTTTTCTTTTCTATTAATGGAGCTTAACTAGGTGCTGACAAACTTGCTTACCTCACAGGCATTAACTCCTCTGATGTGCTGAATGCCTTAATATATCCCAGAGTCAAAGTTGGAAATGAATGTTAATATAGGTCAAAATGTATAACAGGTGAGAAGATATTTCCAAAAGTAACATAATACTGGAGCAAGATATGAGCAGATGTGTTTGACTTCTTGGAACGTCAGCCATTAAAAGTGATCTAAAAGCAAAACAATATCATTGGAGTACAGCACAATGTATAGCCCACCTACAGAAATGTGCATACAACAGCTCTTCTCCCATGATGCCTCTCTGGTTGGAAATCCATACGTTAGATGACTTTTCCCTGAATAATCTCTTTTCCCAAGAGTGCAGAGAAACATTTCACTTGTGGGCTATCAGTTTGATGGCTACAGCTAAGAGGTTTTCAAAGCTGTTAGTTTATGGAGTGAAGGAAACTGGAAAATTGATGTGACTTAGTCTTTGAACTGTTGAATTCTTTGTGGCAACAGAAGCACATACTATTTGGGAAATGTCTGAAATAGTGGTGTGGGTACTGAAGAGGGGTAAGAAGAGAGATGGGAGAAAGAAGGCAGAGCCAGCAGGTCACCTGGTATTGGCTCACCAACCTGGTACAGGTATTGAGGCCTTGCTAAGTATCACAAAGATAACCTGTTTAAATGATCCAAAGTTAGCTAGGTAATGTTGCCATGTAAATGTAGCATCTATGTGAGTCTATTCTACAACTGAAAAGCAGTTGTAATTATAGCTAGCATTTATGTGGCACTTCAAGGTTGGCAAAGCAATGTACATATGTTACCTCATTTGATCCTCACAACAATCCTGGAAGGTAGGTACTGCTATTATCTACATTTTATAGATGAGGAAGCTGAGGCTGAGAAAGGCTGAGAAAGATTGCCTAGGATTATACAACTAGTAAGAGTCTGAGGCAGGATTTGAACTCAGGTCTCACAGACTCCAATCCACCAGTTTCACTCAGTGTGCCAGCTAGCTGCCTGAAATACCAACACAACACTTGAATTCAGCATTATATGGTAGCGGGGATGTTCTTGGTATATGGATATGATGCCACTAATTACCTTTATGGGCTGTGTTGGAATTGCTTTCTGAGTATTTGGGAAGGAAGGAGCTGTGCTTGACCTTCTGTACTTCCTTATCTAGTTTCCCTTGTAATGAACTCCATGCATTTATGAGAGGTTGTGACCATAGAACAGCATCTCATAGTTGTTCAGTCATGCCCTTCATGACTCTGTTTTGAGGTTTTCTTGGCAAAGATACTAGAGTGGTTTGTCATTTCCTTCTCCAGTTCATTTTGCAGATGAGGAAACTGAGGCAAACAGGGTTAAGTGACTTTCCTAGTCACTTAGTAGTCACAACTAGTAAATCTCTGAGGCTGGATTTGAACTCAGGTCTTCCTGACTCCAGGCCTGGTGCTATATCCACTGCATCACCTAGCTTCTTACCCTGGGCAAAGTTAATTGGCCCATAGGAGAACTGAACCTGTGACCTGTGCTTTTTAAGTACCATTCTCCAATGACTCAATTTACCTAACTCCAGATTTTACTCTGTTAGCTTCAAGGAAAGATGGTAAGTGTGTGTGTGTGTGTGTGTGTGTGTGTATGTATGCGTTGTGTGTGTGTGTGTGTGTGTGTAAACTGAGCCTACTACCCTTCGCCCATATGGAGTGACAAATGAGGGTCTCAATTAAGACTTTCTTTTCTTGGAAGTTTCACTAAATACAGACAGACAACGGTCATTAATAAGAATAGGTATATCTTAAAAGGGGAAGATGATGTGGGCGGAAGCTAGGAAAAAAATCCTTTCAGCACAAATTCTACAAAGAAAAATTCACTTTAAAGAAATTATAGTTGTGGCTCTGTCACTGTGTGACTTTTCGTGAGTTAATTCATCTCTTTGAGTCCCAGCATCCCCCATCTGTGAAATGGGTGATGGTAGTGTGAGAAATGAATATTTCTCTCTTATATTTAATAACTAATTACTGTGTCAGGACCAAGGTTTTTTCCCATTTTCTACTAACCAGCGTGTGAAATCTCTCTTAGAGATTCATCCAGGCCAAGAATTAATCAGACAGTAAAAGAAATTCTAAGGATGGGCTAATGGGTATACTCCTGTTCATTGTATTTGCTCAGAGAGGCCTGGGGAAAGGTTGATTCTCCCTATTATTGAGACAGGTGATATGGAAATTGATGTATCTTTGACTGAGATTTGAGTGACCAAAGTCATGTAGCACAAGACCTTCATTTTAATATGGCCCCCACCTGTCTTGGCATTAATCAATCTGATTGCCACCCCTCAGGAGCACCTCCTCTTTAAACTGTGACCCCACTGCCATTACTGGTCTTTGGTCTAAGAGAGACAACCAAATGACCATCCTTTTATGAACAACTTGTTGACCTTATTAATAAAATGATTAAATTACCCAGAAACTATGTCTCTTGAACTTTTTAATCGTCACAATAGCTCATAATTTAGGCCCCCTCTACCTCTAAGATTCTATGATGGATGCTCCAACCTTATGCAGCCAAAAAGAGAGTCACTTTCCTTTGACATTTCCAGAGGTGTCATAGAAGCTTGGCAATAGCTGGCAGAAGAGGAAACAGAAAATAAAGCCCAAGGCATGTGACGTATACCAATGCTTTGGTTTTTTTTTTTTTAAAGAGTGATAGTATATGAACATGTGAAGGATCTGTGTTTCTGGCAGTATGGGGAGGCTCTCCACTCATGCATTTTGTAATCTATCAGTCTAGTGAAGACCTTTGCAGAGGTGCTTCAGGGGATACAGGTAATTTACCTGCCTGCCCAGGACCACAGAACTGTTGAGTGTTCCAAGGGGAATCTGAGTCCAGGTTTTCCTGACTCTAAGCCTAGAACTCTAACCACTGCCCCATGTTGCTTTTAAAGCAATAATAATTTTTTTTTACCTTTACTGTATGTATATGGAACTTTACAATTTCCCTATCCTTTTTTTCACAACAGCGATGTGAAGTAGATTGTCTAAACCAGGTGTGGGGGAACCTGCAGCCTCAAGGACACATGTAGCCCTCTAGGTCCTCAAGTGCAGCCCTTTGACTAAATCCAAACAGTTGGATCCCTGGTCCAAATCACATTATTTCCATTTTACAAACTGAACTGAAGCTCAGAGAGGTGAGCACAAAGTAAGTGAATTGGTGTGGATAGGACTCTGGATTTTAAAGTCAGGGAGACCTTGGCTCCAGTACTACTTCAGGCACTTATTAGTGTGATCCTGAGCAAGTCACTTAACCTCTCTGGGCCTAAGTTTCCATTTCTGCAAAATGAGGGATATGAACTCAATGGCCTCTAACGTCCCCTCCAACACCCTAAATATGATCTTAAGAGTCAGAGCAGGATTTGAACACAGGCCTTTCCTAACTCCAGGTCAAAGAGTTCACTCTACACAACACTGCTTGATTAAGAAATGCGTCATTATTTCCATGGAAAATGGTAACCAGTATGTTGGCAGCACCATTTTTTTCTGCTTTGGCTATAGCTCTATTTCTGCTATTTTGAGGTGATGGGTTCTGTGTTGAGGTTGCTATTCATGATAAGCTTTACTTGATTCCCTGCACCATCCACACTGCCTACCCTTCCCTCTCCTCTCCCTCCTCCCAGCCTTCTTCCATGCTTCTTGATCCCCATCGGCCCCATCATTCTCCTTCTTCTCCCTCTTCTGGTTTAGATAAGTGGTTTGAGGGGGTAGTTGGGTGCTGGAGGTAGCAAATTGGTAAATGTACTTTTTTAAAGTGTCAAAGTAACTGTGCCAGAATGAAGACTGTGTTCCAAAGGTTGAAGCTCATTATTGGTATTTTTTGGACATGTGCACTCTTGACCCTGATAATAAAGAAAATGTGATACTGTCAGGGTTATAGATGACTGAGGAAATGACTCCAGAGAGCTGATCAGAGAGGGGGTGACTCATAACTAGATCACGACCAGACACCAACTGGCTTGTGTTGCTGAAAAATTTATGTTATAGGCCTGTTTTAAATGTTAAGTGGCTGTGGCATGTTCTGTTCACCCTGTTTGGAGAACGGCCAAGTGAAATTCACTCCTACTTGGAGTCTGTCAAAAGCCTGCTACTACCAGTAGGGCTGTTAGCATCGTGGAAGCATGAGCTGCATTTACATACCGCTATCCACCCACAGGCCTGGGAGCCTTCTGCACCCCACTCCCAAGTTCTCACCTGAACCTTTACTCTTCCATTCTAGGAAATGAAAAGCAGCATTAGCCTCTACTTTACAGAAGGAGAAACTGCCATGGGGTGCTAAAGCATCCAAGTTCAGGAAGGAGTTAAGAAAAGAACTGAGAAAGGAAGGGAAGGGAAGCAGCATTAGCCCGTACTTTACAGAGGGAGAAACTGAGTCACAAGTTGCTGAAGTATTCAAATTCAGGAGGGAGTGAGCAGCAGAAATGAAAAGGGAAGGGAAAACAAAGGAAAGGAAAGGAAACATTTATTAAGAACCTACCATGTGCCAGGCACGGTGCTGTTTTAAGGATCATTTGATCCTTACAACAACCCTATGAGGCAGATGCTATTTTTATCCTCATTACATCTGAGAACACCAAGGCAGCCAGAAGTTAAGTGACTTGACCAGGGGTCACACAGCTAAGAAGTTTCTAAAGCCAAATTTGAACTCAGGTCTTCCCAACTCTAGGCCCATAGCTCCATCTTTTGAGGAAAGGTTCAGAAAAAGCACAGAGTCTAGAGTCAAAAAGGACATCAATCCCCTAATCCCACACATACAAAAGGATTCCTCGCTATTACTACTCGATAAGTCATCCTACAGCTTCAGTTTGAATTACCTCCAATGAGGGGTAATTTATCACCTCCTTGGCGGTTCATTCTACCCTCGGGCAGCTCCAGTTCTTAGGAAGTTATCAGTCTCTTTGCAGCTTTCACCCAGGGCTCTAGTTATTGCCTTCTGGGGCCAAACAGAAAAGTTGTTTGTTTGTTTTTTCCCCCTCAAATTGTGTGAAGGCCTAGACCACACCCATCATCCCTTTTCCACACTAGCCCTCTGTCCTACAGGCTAAATAGGCCCCTTTTCTTCAGCTGCTCCTCATATGACTTGAATTCATGACCTTTCATTATCCTGGTCGCTATCCCCAGGAAGCTCGCCATCTTACTACTATCCTTCTTAAACTCTATGGCCTAGAAAAAAATTAGATTTAAATATTATTTAAATCTGTCTCCATTTATGAGTTATTTAGTGAAACTTAAATCCTTCAAGTGCAAAGTCATGTCATTAGCTCCAGAGCCACTAAAACAAGGTATCCTTAACTCAGTACCTTTTCTACTTTATTCCCTTCCCCCACCCCCAAACCTTACCCCCCCATATTTAATCCTTTATTGGAATGAAGGATGTATACATCCTTATCTCTTACATAAACTCTTCATAGGCAGGGCTTATGTCTGGTCCTTCTTTTATGCCCATAGCATCTTGCACAGTGAACATAGTAGGTCCCCGCTAACCAATGAATTGATTAGAAACTGTAAGCCGACAGAGAACGTCAACTATCAGATCTGATATTGTTTTAAGATGATGAAGTACTCCAAATGTGCATTGCAGGTAATGTTTGCTATTGGTGCCTTGTCTAAGTCAATATGTGATTGAATGTTCGGGTGACTGGTATCACACATCAATGGAACTCTAGACACCAAGTTGTCAAGACAACTCTTCATTGGCATCCTTGATGTGGACAGACATGAAGCTTCTGATGTAAGTACAATTGGCCGAGAATGCATTTAGCACACATTTGGACAGAAGAAAAGGAAGGGAAAAGAAGGAGGATATAGAGATTATGATTAGGAATATAGGATTGGAACCCACCACCTTCACATAAAAGCCACTAGTTTATTTTTTAAAATTTGACAGTTTTTTTTTCCTAATTACATGTAAAGATAGTTTTCAACATTTGTTTTTGTAAAATTTTGAGTTCCAAATTTTTCTCCCTCTCTCCTTCCCCTCCCTCCTCCCCAAGATAGCAAGCAATCCAATATAGGCCACACGTGTACAATCATGTCAAACATGTTTCTACAATAGGCATGTTGTAAAAGAAGAATCAGAATAAAAAGGAAAATCCACTAGAAAGAAAAAAACAAAAAAAAGAGTAAAAATAGTATTCTTTGATCTGCATTCAGGTTCCATAGTTCTTTCTCTGGATGTGGTTAGCATTGTCCATGACAAGTCTTTTGGAATTGTCTTGCGTCACTGTATTGCTTCAAAGAGCTAAGTCTGTTATATTTAATCATCACAAATGTTGCTGCTGTTGCATACGATGTTCTCCTGGTTCTGCTCACTTTACTCAGCATCAGTTCATGTAAGTCTTTCCAGATTTTTCTGAAATCTGCATGCTCATCATTTCCCATAGCACAGTAGTATTCCATTACATTCATATGCCACAAATTGTTCAGCCATTCCTAATTGATGGGCATCCCTTCAATTTCCACCACAAAAAGAGTAGCTATGAATTTTTTTGTACTTTGAGTCCTTTCCCCTTTTTTATGATCTCCTTGGGATATAGATCTAGTAGTGGTATTGCTAGATCAAAGGGTATGCACAGTTTGGTTACCCTTTGGACATAGTTCCAAATTGTTCTCCAGAATGGTTGGATCAGTTCACAACTCCACCAACAATGCATTAATGTTCCAATTTTCCCACACCTTCTCCAACATTTATCATTTTCCTTTTCTGTTATATTAGCCAATCTGATAGATGTGAGGTGGTACCTCAGAGTTATTTTAATTTACATTTCTCTAATCAATAGTGATCAGAGAAAAGCCACTAGTTTAAATGGAAATTTGGTCTCAGAAAGTTTCCAGGTCAGGCTTAGAAATGCAGCTTCAAATGAAGATAGAGTAGAAGAACTGTCTTTTGTGGTTTTGATAGTCATTAAGTATTATTTTATTATTTATTAGTCTGTGAGAGGCAGTAGGCACTGAATAGAATAGAAGACTCATCTTCCTGAGTTCAAATCTGGGCTCAGACACTTACCAACTGTGTGACCTTGGGCAAGTCACTTACCCCTGTTTACCTCAGTTTCCTCATCTGTAAAATGAATGGGAGAAGGAAATGGCAAACCACCCTAGTATCTTTGCCAAGAAAACCCCAAATGGGGTGACAGTGGGTCAGACATGACTGAAAAATGACTGAACGACAAAAAAAAGAGAGGCAGAAGTAGCACAGAGGATAGAAGTCCAGCCTTGAGTCAGGAAGACCTGGTTTTAAGTCCCGCTTCTGAAACCTATGTGACTTTAGCTTTATTACCTTGCACACATTACTTAAACTTAGAGTATACCAGGAAACTCTCTGAGACTGTACATTAAAGAGAATTGTGGATCTACTTCTGTGATGGGGGTGTCAATAGTAGGAATTCTCCACCAGGATGAAATCATGAGTCTATATGGTAGAGGTTCTTCTAAAGATGTCCTGAGCATTTCATCGGGCGTGATGCAAAATATCTCCCATCACCAAGAAATGTATATGTTCCTCATCTGTAAAATGAAAGGGTTGACTTCTGAGGTCCCTTTCAACTCTTGTTTTATGAGCCTTAGTCATTTAACCTCTATGGGCCTCAGCCTCCTTTTCTCTAAAAATGAGTGAGTTGTACTAGATGGCATCTGAGGTCCCCCCAATTTTAGATCTATTATTTTATGACAAGGCGTACTACATTGTAAACGATGTTTTGGGAACCATTGGATCGCAGTCTATGCCTTTGGGTATATTCCTGGAAAAAACAAGACTATATCTGAATATTTGATGATTCTCAAATATGTTTATTCCCATTCCACAAGAGACTTAAGTAGAACATCAAACAAGGCATTCTATCTGCCATTAGCTGGATATATGCTCAGTTTTCTGTTGATCGTTTTTTTGCAGATGAGCCCTCATCTTTTTTCTTTTTTGTCTCCTCTCTGTCCATCCACATATTTATAGAAAAACAGTTTTGAGCAACTCTGCATTAATTTCACCAATAAAAATTGCAGCAATTCTTCCATTATTATATATTCATCTTGGAATAAGAAGAATAGAAGAAGAAAGGCAATGACTAGGTAGCCCTTGACTTTGCTTTGGATTTATAGGACTGCCCCAGTCTTATTGACAAGATAACACAAAGTTTTTCACCTCTACTCTTTCCACTTATAATGGATTTTTCCCTTGGAAGATTCCTCCCCACCCCCGCCCTGATCCCTAAGCCAGTTTGCCATGGTATGCCATGTCAGAAGTCATATTTCATGGGAGGAAATATTGCCCTGCAATTTTTCATTTAATATCTTTTCAGCTCAGGACCCATAGCATCCTATAACCATACTCCATATTGGTTCCTGTGCTTCATAATCCATAAGCCAGACTTTTGTTACTCATTTGTTGTTTATATATGATCTCTGAAGATAATGTACAAACAGCCTTGTCAGCATTAACAGGTATCAAGCTCTGGACTGGAAAAGCACAGAGCTAAAATGTGAGTATTGTAGGACTTGGTTAATTAGCACCAAGTGAATGAGAAGACCCAGAGCTCCTTAACTAAATTTGGCAAATTAACATGCAAAAAAACACCTGCCATAAATCCTCAAGGCTTGTACTACCTCCCAGAATGTAGTTTGTTCACTTAATTGGACAAGTCCCAGTTAGTTTAGGTAATTTATGACAGTGCTTTGTGGTTTGTTAGTGAATTTGCCATCGTGTATGCTTTGCTAATACAGCAGCATCTGCATGCTTGGAGAGCACAGCCTAGTCTATGGGAAAGGAGTATGTCCAGGGTTTAGCTGTAGGACTACCCCAAGGTCTTCTCTGTTGTCAAGTCTGTGGGAGATAAGCATAGCCACGTGTGCATTCACACATATACTGTGTCACACTGGGGCTAAGGAAATGGGTAGATTTCAGACACTCAGTAGGAATTTCAAGACTAGAAACAGGACAACGAAGCTGTGATTGATAAAGCATAAACAAAGATGGGACTTAATTGAATTGATTCAACAAATACCTGTTGAGTACCTGCTATGTGTAAAATAGCATGCTAGATTACATGCCTTAGAATTTAAAGATAAATAAGACAGGTCCTTGCCCTGAGTAGTTTATAATTAAGGAGGATGAATAAGGTGCATGTTCCATTAGTAAGAGGCAGCCTGGCTTAGTGAATAAAAAGCTGGCCTTGGAGCCAGGAGGACCTGAGTTCAAGTTCTATCTCTGACACAGGTTGACAGTGTGGTTCTGGGCAAGTTGCTTAACTTCTTAGGGCTCTAGGCAACTCTCTAATACTCTGAGTTGCAAAGAAGGTGTGACCTGCATTGGCAAAGGGAAGTTCCTCATTTGGGAGCTCCTTATACCAATGAAACCATGGATGTAGTTCCTATCCTATTCTAAAAGTTATGTGGCAAAATTGAGAATAATAAGTGAGATTTCCAAGGAATGAAGACCATTTTTTTTTGCTGATGGAATTAGGGAAAACCTCATGGGAAAGGTGACATTTGGGCTGGGGTGTGGAGAATGGGTAGGATTTCAGTAGGTAGAAATAATGGGGAGGGGAAAAGGAAGGCAGAGAGTTTGTGTAATATTGTATAGTATGGTTTGTTTGGGATGTAGAGGATATGAAAAGAAGTAATATGAGATCATTGTCAAAGGTAGGTTGGTACCAGATGTGACCAATAAATACATTCCCATGGGACATAAACTCTTGGGTGGAAGGACTGTTTGTCCTCCTCTTTCTATTCCCCAGTGGATGGTAGCAGGTGCTTAAGAGATGCCTACTGAAAGATTGTGGAGGGCCTTGAATGATAGGCTAAGGATTTTCATTTCATCTTTCTTCAGTAGGTAATATGGGGCCATCAAAAAGTTTTTAGTAGTACAGTGATATAATCAGAAGTATACATAGCTTTAATCTGGTGTGTGAAAGGATAGATTGGAGGGAAATGAGACTGGATGTGGGAAGCCTAATTAAGAGGTTACTGAAATAGCAGGTCGGGGGCTGAGGGCATGGAATGTTGCATTTCTTGTCATACTTAGTTGATGTGTTGTTTAGATTCACTGAATTTTTTGTGGTTGTTATAAAGGATGGCTCTCAGATTGAGGATGGGAAGACATATATTTGGAAATGAAGGCAATGTGAAAATTAAAGATATCGATAAAAGAAATCTTAAAAAAGAAGCGATTGCAATAGTACAAGGGAACAATAATCAACTAAAAGAATTATAGTATTTTCAAACTGGAAATTTGTCATTTTATAGATAAGGAAACTAAGGTCCCCGAATGAAATAACTTGTCCTAAGTCACAGAAATAGTTTCTGCACAAAGAAGGAGCTTAATAGATATTTGTTGCCATGGATTGAACTGATAGCCAATAAACTTAATTTAAAGGAAAAATCAAAAGGTAGAAACCAGGCATGGTAGTGGGCTGGAGCTAGGGAGGTCAGGATGATGAGAAGGATTAAAAGCCAGAAAGTCAGTCAGGTGTGAGGATTGCCCTTCAAGGGTCAAGGCATAGCCCAGGATTAGCAACCACAAAAGCAGTCAAAAACCAGAGGACAGGTTTAGGTAAAACCTAGATCTAGACATCAGAAACCAGATAAAGAATTGTGTCAGCAGACAAGAACATCAAGGTTCAGAAGACCTTGAAACAGAGGCAACTTAGGACCCAGCCAAGACACATAAATATATTTATATATATATATGTATATGTGTGTGCGTACACATGGGTATCTGTATGTGTATCTATGTGTGTGAATGTGTATCTATGCATATATACATATATGTATATAAACACATATACATATGTATATATACATATATACTTTTTGCTACAGGTAGAACAGTGGATAGAGCACTGGCTCTGGAGTCAGGAAGACCTGAGTTCAAATCTGGTCTAAGACAGTAGCTGTGGGATCCTGGGCAAGTCACTTAGCTTTGTTTGCCTCAGTTTCCTCTTATAAAATGAGCTGGAGAAGGAAATGGCAAACCACTCCAGTGTCTTTGCCAAGAAAACCCCAAATGGGGTTACACAGAGTCAGACAATTAAACAATAAGGACAAAGGCAGAAATCAATCTCAGGACATTCCAATCAAAATCTTGACAAAGGGAAGAGGTGAGCCACATTAATTCTGATAGAGTGAGGTTTATAAGCTCGAAGAGAGGGATAATTCTCTGATAAAGACATTTTAATTTTTTTTACTGTAAGCTTGAAGTTGCCACCCATGCTACTTTGTTCATAACAGTCATTGGCATTTTTGGGATACAGTGGGAGAGGAAAATAAATTCACTGACCCCACCTTGTTTAACCATTTGGCCCTGTCAGGAGCTACATTACACATGGGCATGTGTGCATATACACATGCACACACTCGAACACACAAGCCATTCTCCTTTTTCTTTTTGCTGTGTAGTCACTCTCAATTTCTTCCTCCTAACAAAATATTGGCAGAGAGGAGTCGGGAAATGTGGTCATCATGAGAAGGCAAAGGAGGGGTATTATGGGACAGTGGGTTTAAAGTCAGAGAATTTGGGTCAAATCCTGGTTATGCCAATGTCCCACTTGGATGGCCTTTGGCAAATCATTTAGCCTCTCTGTTTCTTCATCTGTAAAATAAAGAGGATTGACCAGGTGCTCTTTAGGAACCTTTTCTGCTCTAAATCTCTGATCCTCTTTATCTTCCCCATTAGAATATAGGCTCCTTACAAGTAGGGAATATTTTATGTATTAAATGTTTATCTCCAGTGCCTGACACATAGTAGGCACTTAATAAATACTTGTCGATCAATGGATTCTATGTTTTTGCTGATCACTCTAATGTCACTGTGTTTGGGGAAAGAAGGGTCTCCACAAACTGATTTAAAGAATGAGCAAACTATAGATGTGGGGACTTGAGTCTTCCTGTTTAGACCAGGTTCATCAGGAAGAGAACTTCTACAAGTTTTAGTTCAATAGACTTGGCTTGTAAACAAACTACACTGGGTGGGAGAAGGCAGAGTGAAGAAAGCAAAGAAGGAAGGATGTACAGGGTACTGAGAAAGGGCCCCTGGCTCAATACTGGACTTGAGACCAAAAAGACTAGCCACAATCAGCCTTTGCTCAAATGTCAGCAACTATGGTACTTTCTGTTTTGGGGTCTCTGTTTTGTCCCCAGCAGAGCAATCGCTAGAAACGTCCCCAGTTTGTGAGGAAGCAGAGCAATTCAAGCTGAACATTTCACAGAATTATAGGATCCTAGAGCCAGAAGGGGGTCCTTAGAGGTCAGAGAGTTTAAACGCCACCTGAAGTGTCTATATTCCTTTAAAACACCTTTAACAAATGGTCATCCAAGCTCTGCTTAAAGATTTCTAGGGTCAAAGCACTCACTCTCAAGGTAATTCGTTTCATTATTAAGCAGTTCTAATTAGGAAGCTTTTACTTTTATTGAACAGAAGTCCATCTCCCTGTATTTTCCATTTATTGATCCTAGTTTTGCTCTCTGAGACCAAGCAAATCAAATTTTTCCTGCATATTTTAGGATCAAATATCTGGAGTTGTTTGATCATGTTCAACTCAATTCAACTCAGCACTTATTAAGGGCCTACTATGTGCAAAGCACTGGAAATACAAAGATCAAAGCAAAAGTTGCTGTCCTCAAGGTGTTTATGTTCTAGTAGGGAGATGCAACATTTATAGACATAAGTTAATACAAATGTCAACCTGAAATAAAGAGGACTATTATAGCAGTGACAGCACGGGTCTTTAATTGAGGCAAGGGGACTGCAATTCAAAACACCACACAGCCCTAGAGTGCAAGAATGCCCAAAAGAAGCACAAGGGGCAGAGTTAAGATGCACTTTAACATGGGTAGTTACATTGTTTTGCAAAATAGCCAAAGGTTGGGGAGTGATTGACATCAGAACAACAGGCTTCAGGGGTAGAGAGTTTCCACAGAGATCCCAAGCCCTGCTCCAAACATGGCATTAGTGAGGTCAAGGGAGCCCCTTCTGATCTCTGCATTCAACACAAAGTCATTCAGGAGGGTGAGAATGCTACAAACAAGAGAGTCATCTGGGTCCAGTGGCAAGATATGGATCAGGATGACTGGAGATGGTCCTTGATTCAGTGGGAGACCTTGGCCTTTTTAAGCTAAGGTCTT